GTCATATGAATAAGGGAGAATCATAGACGAAAACAAGGTAAAGTTTGAATATATTTATTCACATATTGATAGATTAGTTACCAGTTCAAAACTATGCAAAACGCTGTTAAAACCCTGACATACTCTTCTCTATTATCCACTCTTGATATATATATATACATTATATAATGTACCATATATATATATGTACCAGGCTATTCATGTTTCATTGCAGGCCAGAGTTGAGAGGCACTTACGAGATCGTCTCGACCTTTCCGAAAATGAAGTACACCGACGACAGCGCCACCTTGCAGCGATGCAGCCTCGTGCCAAATGCCGCGCTCCGGCTAATCCGCAAGCAGTGAGGTCACAGGTCGACGTGCTGGACGAGCGGATGACCGTCAGCAGCGTTGATGGTTATGCGCGAGCATATGGTTGCGTACAGAGGGCGCCAGGAGTGTTATACATGGAAAATAATTAGCAAAAATATCCTTATACTAGTTTTACCAGTGGTCTTTCACAAACGTGATACCTATTCGTGAAAGAATACATATAGGAAGCAGTACAATTATGATACCTGGTGCCTTTTTCTGAGTGAAAAAATGTGTAGATGTCTGCATATAGCATGAGATCGGGGAATTGTCGGGGTGCATACGTAGCACAGCATGTGGTGGCATTTATTTCAATATACCCTACATATAGTCATATATAGTACATTCACGTATATGAACATACACATACATACAATTAGAAGTGAAGAAAAGCAAATTTGTTTTGATTCACTCCTGATACAATATATAGTTAATATATTACTTATATGAAAATATATAATGTAGAAGTGACTATTTATTTATGTACCATACTGTAAGTTATTATTTGGCCATTTGAAAAAATAGGGGTATGGTGATATATTCTTTTCTGTCATTGATATTTTGTTACATATAAAGAAACATTGTATTACTACATGGGAAAAGTATTACAAATCTATTATAAAAGTAAAAATTTTAAGTACAAAACAAACAGTTTTGTGTATTTTTATTTTGTAACTTCAATCGCTCTGGCCGGCTAGTGTGTTTTTATATTTCATGCACAACATATTATTAAGCAATGAGCAAGTCGTGTTTTTTCATACGGGAACAGTAGTTATATCTGTTGCAATAGCGAGTTGCGATAGCGGTCTGTTGCAATAGTATTGTGTGTGCTGTGGTAATGTGATGGACACTAAGGAACACAAAATCTTTCCTTTTAACCGAGAGATGGCAGTGTAACGGGTACATTTGAAACAAGCGAGCAGCGATCTTTGAACTATTGTTTGCAAGATGGACGCTACTGTTACACTTTATTGTGTGTGTCAGCAAGAGTATGACTTGTCTCGCTTCATGATAGAATGTGAAGCGTGCAAAGATTGGTTTCATGGAAGGTAGGCATCGTAGCGGATACGTTAGATGTGGTTGTAACCTCTTATTTTGTCAAATCTACAGTAGGCCCTAGGTCGGTCGAACAAGTAATGACTGATGCCCATGTACAGCTACAGTACAGCATTCATGAATCGAATGTTGACATTGTTGTGAGCATCAAAACATTAAACTTGCGATATATATATTCCCAATTCTGTTATTAAATGCGTCAGAACGCAGATTAATTTAATCAGACACTTTATTATATACGCTGTGGCTATATGCCCGGCAGCCGCGCACGGTCTTTGCTTTCCTAAATGCCCGGCA